TTTTTCAAAACAAAGCTCCATCTATTGATGGGGAGCAACACCTGCTGGAAACCGGGTCCAGCGTCCCATAGATACAACCATATCCTCACAAATTGGCACGAACTGGGAACCGGGCCCAGCGTCCCATAGCGAGTACATTCAGAAAAATCGTCAGAAAATTTCATGCAAATGAGGCTAGGAATCCTACTAGAAAAATCCAACTGGCCTAAGAATGGAATTTGAAAATTGAGATAGCGGGGCCATTACCCGGCTTTGGCTCAGAGAATTAGAGCTACGTCAGACATATCTATGACAACTTCATGATTCAAAAACGACTCAGAAGAACCCCCATCAGTCCACTTTACCTCCCTCCGGCAAGACTGACTGCAGCAGAGCCACCATCTCTGCTGCTGCTATACCATACTCCCATCCTACCAGCTAGGCCCTTCACTGGTAGGACGCGTGATAACCCACCATCTTCTCCCACTTTTTTTTTTTTGGGCTTCAGATATGTGATTTCAGAACCGACTCAGAAGGACCCCCATCTATCCACTTTACCTCACTCGGGCAAGACTAACTGCAGCGGAGCCACCATCTCAGCTGCTGCTATACCACACTACCATCCTGCCAGCTAGCCCCCTCACTGGTAGGACGCGTGATAGCCCACCATCTTTCCCACTCACCACTCCATGCTGCTGCGCAACAGTTCTGTCTTCGTCATCGAGAGGGAGGTCCCGAAAGACCAACAAATGCAACTCCTATCTTCGTCATCGAAAGGGAGGTCCCGGGTACTTTCTAATGAAGTCAGCTGACCACGGCTGACTCCACTCGATGCCAATCGCATCCGTTCTCAACCACCCCCATCAGAAACCCCTTCATCCTCCGCAACTCCGTTCTAGTAAAGGGTTCGAAAGACCATATCCTCAGCACGAGCCAGACACAATCCTCATCCTGCAATCTCCTGCCCCCTCAGGGATTCCAGTCTTCGTCATCGAGAGGGTAAGCCAGCGCTGCCTGAGGCCAATCGCACCAGGATGATCCCTCATCAGCCGGTACCCATCCGGCAGCTAAGCTGCCCAATGCCAATCGCATCTAATGAAAAATCCCCCAGCCGGTACCCCTCAGACGACCTGATTCAACCCTCTCTCCGTCCTCACAAAGAGTCATCTCGTGCCCTTTGCCCTCCACCTTGAACAGATCCCCCAAAACCCAACAGAACCTCCACTTGCCTGCCCCCCCTTCACCCTCCCCAACTCCGTCCTAGAAAGAGTTCGAAAGACCATGTCCTCAGCAAGAACCAGACACAATCCTCATCCTGCAATCCCCTGCCCCCTCGGAAATTCCAGTCTCCGTCTTCGAGGGGGTGAACCAGCACTGTCCGAGGCCAACCGTACCAGAGTAAACCCTCATCAGCCGGTACCCATCCGACAACCCAAGCTGCCCGACGCCAATCGCATCCAATGAAAGTTCCCTTAGCCGGTAGATGCAACCCTCTCTCCGTCCTCACAAAGAGTCATCTCGTGCCCTTTGCCCTCCATCTTGGACAGATCCCCCAAAGCTCAACAGAACGGCCCCGTACGAATTCACGAAATAACCTCAACAGTTCACGAAATTTTAAGAAGCGAATTATAGCCAATTTTTAGAGACCATCTCAGACAAAGCCCTCAAAAAAGTAATCGCGAATCCCACAGAAACTGGAAACAGATGTGGACTGGGTACAGGGAATTTAAGACAGGCTACGAATTTTTAGGATTAACAGACTATACCATCGGATGCCCTAAATAGGACTTTCGACCAATACTATGAAAATCTGGACCTGCTAAGCAGGAGGGAAGGTGGAGGCCGTCAGTCCTCGTACAAAACCCCCCTCATGCTAGGGTGACAGGGCGCCACCGCTACCCCAGAACCGGTCCACCTTGTTCGCACGGAAAGAAGTGTCTTCCACCCTCGACTACTCCTCAAAGTCATCCAGCCCCACAGTTACAGGGGAACACCCCCGGCCATGACTTCGTCGAACCCACTGGTGAGTGAGCATTGAATGTATGACAATT